GAAATCTGCTACAAGGTTTGTGATTGGTCAAATCTGAGCACATGACCTAAGTCAGCCAATCAAATTACATCTATGGCATGATGAATTTCCGAATTTAATGAAAGATTTTTGTTAAATCGTGTTATTCTGAATGTTTTAAGCAGGGAATTGCGATCTGTATTAAAAAAATTGAACTTCATGTATGTATCATGGTAGGTTACGAGCTATGACAAAGATTTTTCATGCTTATATTTTTGCATTAAATATCGTGTCCGAGCCGAGGAAATTGAGGCGACGAAAGCCGAGATGTCATTTGACGTAATTACACGCGATCGCACGAAAAGATGGAAATAATAACCTAGATGTAAGTTTGACAACTTTAAGATATATTTTTGTTGATTTTATTTATTACTTTGTATAATATATTTAAAGATTTGCTTGAAATGTCTTTATATTGCTCTTTGACATGTTCGATGTAGACTCGTTGCCGGAGTGTTTTCGAGATTTTATTTTCAATAACATTGTGGGAATAAGTAAATAGTTTTTTGATTTATCAATAAGAAATTATAAAATGCAATTGAATTGGAATTGAAATGGAATACGTATTTCAGACATTGTGAAATGTGATAGATCCAATAAATGAATGATATGACAGGTAAGTTCATAAAATTATATACTATTTTGACGTGACTACGGCTTGGTCGGTCAGCCAGCCTTACGGGGTGTCGTCTGGGGATTCGAGGATGGTATGTCATCTTAAAAAAAGAAAAGACTTTGGGTCAATTGAATAAATTACCAATGACATAGTTTTTAAGGCATTTTATTGGTCTCTCGAAAATAGACATACGTCATTTGCATAATATTAATCTGCCTGCTATATGTTCATTGGTCAAAATGAGCTCAGAATTGTCCGCATTAACAAAAGTTGAACGGAAAGAAAGAAAGTGAAAGGTTTTCCCAGGAAATGCAATGGGGAGGTAACTCTAAACTGGAGGTAAACAAATCAAGGAAAATCTTCACAAAATCAAAAGTTTTCACAGTGAAATTAGAAAACTAGGTATTTCTCAACCAATTTTGAAACGAAAAAAAAGCATGACGCAAAAAATATTGTCTTTATTTTGATTTATAGATGAAAAATCATAAATTAAGACGTCTTAGCCACCCTTAATTTCGAACCCTGTGGTGGGGTAGTACAGGGCCGTGGGGTGTATGGTGGGGTAGTACAGGGCAGATGTAAGGTGTATGTTCTCTCATGGCTATGATGTACATGGCAGTTGAGGAGTGAATGATCCCTGTATTGAATAGATAGGAATGCTAGTTGCAGGGTGAATTATCCCTGTATTGTATAGATAGAAATGCTTGTTGGGGAGTGAATGATCCCTGTATTTGAAGATAGGCATGCTAGTTGCAGAGTGAATGATCCCTGTATTTGAAGATAGGAATGCTAGTTGAAGAGTGAATGATCCCTGTATTGTATAGATAGGAATGCTAGTTGCAGAGTGAATGATCCCTGTATTTGAAGATAGGAATGCTTGTTGCGGAGTGAATGATCCCTGTATTGTATAGATAGGAATGCTTATTGCGGAGTGAATGATCCCTGTATTTGAAGATAGGAATGCTAGTTGCAGGGTGAATAATCCCTGTATTATATAGATAGGAATGCTAGATGCAGAGTGAATTATCCCTGTATTATACAGATATGAATGCTAGTTACAGGGTGAATGATCCCTGCATTGTATAGATAGGAATGCTTGTTGCGGAGTGAATTATCCCTGTATTGTATAGATAAGAATGCTAGTTGCAGAGTGAAGGATCCCTGTATTAAATAGATATGAATGCTTGTTGCAGGGTGAATTATCCCTGTTTTATATAGATAGGAATGCTTGTTGCAGAGTGAATGATCCCTGTATGATACAGATAGGAATGCTAGTTGTGGAGTGAAAGATCCCTGTATTGTACAGATAGAAATGCTAGTTGCAGAGTGAATGATCCTTGTATTATACAGATAGGATTGCTAGTTGCGATGTGAATGATCCCTGTATTATACAGATAGGAATGCTAGTTGCGGAGTGAATGATCCCTGCATTGTATAGATAGGAATGCTTGTTGCGGAGTGAATGATCCCTGTATTTGAAGATAGGAATGCTTGTTGCAGGGTGAATTATCCCTGTATTATACAGATAGGAATGCTAGATGCAGAGTGAATTATCCCTGTATTATACAGATATGAATGCTAGTTACAGTGTGAATGATCCCTGCATTGTATAGATAGGAATGCTTGTTGCGGAGTGAATTATCCCTGTATTGTATAGATAGGAATGCTTGTTGCAGAGTGAATGATCCCTGTATGATGCAGATAGGAATGCTAGTTGTGGAGTGAATGATCCCTCTATTGTATAGATAGGAATGCTAGTTGCAGGGTGAATTATCTCTGTATTGCCGGTATATAGATAGAAAGGCTAGTTGCAGAGTGAATGATCCCTGTATTGTATAGATAGGAATGCTAGTTGCAGGGTGAATTATCCCTGTATTACCAGTATATAGATAGGAATGCTAGTTGCAGAGTGAATGATCCCTGTATTGTATAGATAGGAATACTAGTTGCAGGGTGAATTATTCCTGTATTATATAGACAGGAATGCTAGTTGCAGGGTGAATTATCCCTGTATTATATAGACAGGAATGCTTGTTGCAGAGTGAATGATCCCTGTATTGTACAGATAGGAATGCTAGTTGCGGTGTGAATGATCCCTGTATTATACAGATAGGAATGCTAGTTGCAGCGTGAATGATCCCTGTATTGTACAGATAGGAATGCTAGTTGCGGAGTGAATGATCCTTGTATTATACAGATAGGAATGCTAGTTGCGGAGTGATTGATCCTTGTATATGACCGCGTATAAGCCGAATTTTGAGGACCAGAAAAAAGATTCTGTAGAAAGGGGTCGGCTTATCCACGGGATACACTTTCATGATAGTATTTTTCAGATCGTGATCTGTCAGAAACATCGCCTGAATGATGGTCCGATAGATTACAACTTCCCGAAAGTTTGGAAGTTGCCACGACTGGAGCCATTATTGTTATAAATTATCAATAAAGTTATTATTATACACCAATGTTGTCATTATTAAAAAAATGTTATGCATGTTACTACTTCCGATAATAAGTTTTCAATTGAATGTTCAAAGTTTATCGTTCTTCGTAAACTCCACAATCTTTACATGTAACAATATATGTAATTCACAGCTATAATATATAATCCCCAGATAAAATCGCCAATAGCTATTACGTACGTAATGCAAAGTTCATAAATTGATAGTGAACAAGTGTCTACCTTTATTGAAAGAGGCAAATAAACAACTGTATCGGCGAGTTATTCCGTTCGCCATTTGCAAAAACATGTGATCAGCTGTTTCCTGTGACGTCACAAACGGTGACCACTGTGATTGCTTCCTGTTGTTTAAAGCAACACGGTACACAAGGAAATGAGCATTGATAATAACGGGCCGATTGGTATTGTCAGGTTGTTTACACAAACATTTTCAAGTTGTTGGTGCTTAGCGATCGTGTTGGGAGTAGGGGCTTAATTCCTTTGTTTTCGAGAGATTAGTTTAATAAACTGGAAAAGCCTGTGAGTAAGTGATGGTCATTTAATGTGTTCATAGTATGATAGTTTATTTAATTCAATTGGATTAACATACAATAGTGGTGTAAAGGGGGTTATAAAAGTTGGTATATTTTTACTGACTGACATTTTCATCATGAGTTTTAAACGAAAACGCCATGCTTACGATGCTGAATTCAAACTGCGAGTCTTCGCTCCAGCTGATATATTTTCTCACGGGTTCATAATTCTATATACACCGACTCACAAAATGGCGCTTCGTTGTTGATGGCAACATATAACGATCATTATGAGATTAAAAAAACCCACAAGAAACAGCTTCCCACAATATGAAAGTGGATGACTGGTTTGTTAAATCTTTATTAGAAATAATAATGACTTTTTCAATATAATAACAACGTTTTTCATCTTATATTTTTGAATATCTGCGAGTACCGGCACATGTCTTTCAGTCCGACTTCGCAGTGTTTTTTGTCTTTCAATTCCTGATTCGGCTTATCTGCGGGTCATATCATTTTCTTTTGTATTTCAATGGTCAAATAAACACCTCGGCTTATCTATGGGGTCGGCTTATCCGCGGTCATATACGGTAGATAGGAATGCTTGTTGCAGAGTGAATGATCCCTGTATTGTACAGATAGGAATGCTAGTTGTGGAGTGAATGATCCTTGTATTATACAGATAGGAATGCTAGTTGCGATGTGAATGATCCCTGTATTATACAGATAGGAATGCTAGTTGCGGAGTGAATGATCCCTGCATTGTATAGATAGGAATGCTTGTTGCGGAGTGAATGATCCCTGTATAATACAGATAGGAATGCTAGTTGCGGAGTGAATGATCCCTGCATTGTATAGATAGGAATGCTTGTTGCGGAGTGAATGAATGATCCCTCTATTGTATAGATAGGAATGCTAGTTGCGGAGTGAATGATCCCTCTATTGTATAGATAGGAATGCTAGTTGACTTTTCCCTGCATTAGACTCTGCTCTAGCTGCTATGACCTCAGTTAACTGCTGACATATCGCTTCAACTGTAGTACACATACATTAAAGTATTGATGAATATCCTTTTGCTGTTTGAGTATAATACTAATGGTTATAGCTTAACCAATTTCTAAATCAGTAAAGATACTTCTTAATTGCATTTTGTATCTTTATTATTTTTCAGGCTTTCTTTTGAAATTGTGATATGTTGTCAAGGTTGTCAAACTTGTAGTCAGTCATTGTAGTTTTTCAAGCCACGGAATGTTGTGCATTGTGAAGGAGACTTCCTATATCAGTGAGTTCCCAGAAACAGCTTGCTAGATGCTAGAGTTGTGCATGCTGCACCAGATTTGGCATCCTTTGTAGAATGACTCAGTATATCATCAAAACTTGTCATTTTTTGTTAAAGCTGGTCGAATCGGTAGTGGTAGATTTGACCGTGGGGAACGAGAGGAACGGCACCGGGGAGATGCCCCGAGACTAAAAGGTACCTGTGGTTCGTGCATCCTCATGTACATCCATCAGTACATATGTGTGTAGACATGGTCATCCATGGTGTGGTTCCTGCCATATTGTCATCTTTTACCAGTAACATCCATCATAACACCAGCCTAGCCTGCATGTTGTGTGTCATTGGTTGTACCAAGCAGACTGGCAAGCAGGGACACCTTCACACATGGACCAGTGAGTGTGCCCTATGTCATGTCACATACATAAATACTTCATCTTGAAAAACTGATTGAGATATGTAGACATTCTGTTAAGAGTTTCCAAAGTGGCTGACCTGCGGCCCTGCCTGACCAGTCGAATGTTGCAAGTAGTGAACACAACTGATGACAGGCTCCATTTACTTTCTCTCCCCTCCATGAGGTCTGGCTTTGGTTGTTGGGTGTGTTGGCAGGGCATGTCAGTGTATCTCGGTGTGAGCTGGTCAGTGTCTGCTACACCCACTTGGAATGTAGGTTTACATTCATCTTCATTAACTCTAATTCACTTTGAGTGCTTAACCTGAATGTGGTGTGTTATTTATTTTGTTGTATGTTAATTCTTTACAACAGATTGCACAGTGTGTGTTTGTTTCGATGACTATAGACAACCTTGGTCCTGCTACTGGCCACAGGATATCATGATATACTGCCACTCCAGGCAGATACCAGATAGACTGCATCCACACATGGCCCCATACCCACCATAGATCCCTGGTTCATACTTGTAACCCATGCTTGCCATAAGAGGCAACTTTGCTTAGAGTTGACTAAAGGGATAGTGTGCTCAGTTTCGCAGACTTGGTTGATGCATGTCATCATATCCCAATTGTGTAGATTGATGCTCATGATGTCAATCACTGGATTATCTGGCCCAGACTTGATTATTTACAGACAGCCTTCATATAGCTGAAATTTGGTTGAGTGTGGCGTTAAACAACAAACAAATAAGCCTTGATATGCAGAGACCATGGCAAACTTGTTTTCGTGTGACCTCTTTTCATGAGGCATAGTTGTCCCTTGGTATGTATGACACAAATATCCTGATATGCCGCATGTGAAAATGTCAAGTTGGAACTACCAGTGACTGTCGTCCCTATATAACTGCTGTAGATTCAGGACGTATATCAAATGTCAATGGCTTGTATTGTTCAGGGTATAAAGTATACACAATCATGATGTCACATATTATTCAATTTCGTTGTAGAATAGTCCTACATATTCTCATCCTAAGAGCTAAAATATTTTTTTTCTCATAGACACAGCAGTTGTTAAGGTTTCCTATCCAGATGAATTAACATTGAAAGTTAAGTAAGTAAGGACTCCCAGAATGGTGTTCTCCTGTGACACATGATGTGCTGCCTGTTACACGATTACTGTATAATGTCAGTCAGGGCTAACCTAGTGCTATACATATCACAACATCCATGGAACTATTCAAGCCTGCACTGACATTATCATTTAAAGGTCATGTGAACAGGAAAAACAGGCTACAGAAAACTACACCTAAGTATTCATGTTTTTAGAAGTAACTGTGTAACCACTTACTCACATATCTGTCGAAGGCTGTGTGATTTGTTGAGTGTTGCTTTTGTGCTTAACATGGTGAATGTGAAATGTAAAATGTCAGCAACATGATTGAGTTTGGATACATTAGATTAGAACATAGATACATGATCTGACTATACAAACAGTCTATATACAAATGAGGAAGAGGTCATGTTGCAAGTATACAATGTATACAAATTCTAATTATTAAGATCTGGATTTTATATACCTTGAAGTTAGTTTTGTAGCACCGCCTGTCTACCCCAGTAACTGGGTGTGTGCACGAGCACCTTCTCAGTAGACACCTCTCCATCCCCTCTCTGTCTGCTCCACCCCCTCTCCACCCCCTCTCCACCCCCTCTCTACCCAAAAACCAATGTGTGCACCAGCCACTTCCCAGTAGACACCCCTCCATTCCCTTCACCTCCTCCTCCTCTCTATCTCCACTCTACCTTAGTAACTAGTGGTGCACCAGCCGCTTCCCAGTAGACACCCCTCCATTCCCTTCACCTCCTCTCTATCTCCACTCTACCTTAGTAACTAGTGGTGCACCAGCCACTTCCCAGTAGACACCCCTCCATTCCCTTCACCTCCTCTCTATATCCACTCTACCTTAGTAACTAGTGGTGCACCAGCCGCTTCCCAGTAGACACCCCTCCATTCCCTTCACCTCCTCTCTATCTCCACTCTACCTTAGTAACTAGTGGTGCACCAGCCGCTTCCCAGTAGACACCCCTCCATTCCCTTCACCTCCTCCTCCTCTCTATCTCCACTCTACCTTAGTAACTAGTGGTGCACCAGCCGCTTCCCAGTAGACACCCCTCCATTCCCTTCACCTCCTCCTCCTCTCTATCTCCACTCTACCTTAGTAACTAGTGGTGCACCAGCTGCTTCCCAGTAGACACCCCTCCATTCCCTTCACCTCCTCCTCCTCTCTATCTCCACTCTACCTTAGTAACTAGTGGTGCACCAGCCGCTTCCCAGTAGACACCCCTCCATTCCCTTCACCTCCTCTCTATCTCCACTCTACCTTAGTAACTAGTGGTGCACCAGCCGCTTCCCAGTAGACACCCCTCCATTCCCTTCACCTCCTCTCTATCTCCACTCTACCTTAGTAACTAGTGGTGCACCAGCCGCTTCCCAGTAGACACCCCTCCATTCCCTTCACCTCCTCCTCCTCTCTATCGCCACTCTACCTTAGTAACTAGTGGTGCACCAGCCGCTTCCCAGTGGACACCCCTGTCAATTCTCTGGTGATGGTCATAACATCACCTTGTGGGTCAAGTTCTTACATTATCAGATTGCCCTACAAGCCAACTGTCTTGATCAAAGTCACATTATATCTGTCATCACAATCATTGATCTTCAGGTCTTCAGCAACCGATGCTTGCCATAAGAAGTGACTAACGGGATCGGGTGGTCAGACTCGCTGACTTAGTTGATGCATGTCATTTGTATCCCATTTAAGTAGATCGATTCTCATGATGTCAATCACTTTTTTGTCTGGTTCCTACTCAGTTATTTACAGACCACTGTCACAGCTGGAATATTGATGAGTGTGGCATTAAGCAACAAATGAACAAACAAACATTGATCTTCATTTCATACACACATTACCTTCATCACAACATTACACATGTTACCTAATCACAACATTACACACGTTATCTTCATCACAACATTACACATGTAACCTTCATCACAACATTACACACGTTACCTTCATCACAACATTACACACGTTACCTTATCACAACATTACACACATTACCTTCATCACAACATTACACATATTACCTTATCACAACATTACACACATTACCTTCATCACAACATTACACACGTTAACTCATCACAACATTACACATATAACCTTCATCACAACATTACACACGTTACCTTCATCACAACATTGCACACGTTATCTTCATCACAACATTACACATGTAACCTTCATCACAACATTACACACATTACCTTCATCACAACATTACACATGTTACCTTATCACAACATTACACACGTTACCTTCATCACAACATTACACATATTACCTTATCACAACATTACACACGTTACCTTCATCACAACATTACACACGTTATCTTCATCAAAACATTACACATGTAACCTTCATCACAACATTACACACATTACCTTCATCACAACATTACACACATTACCTTATCACAACATTACACACATTACCTTCATCACAACATTACACATATTACCTTATCACAACATTACACACATTATCTTCATCACAACATTACACATATAACCTTATCACAACATTACACACATTACCTTCATCACAACTTAACAAATGTTTCCTTCATCACAACATAACACATGTTCCCTGCATCACAACATTACCTTCATAACAACATTGCACACGTTACCTTCATCACAACATTACACACATTACCTTCATCACAACATTACACACGTTACCTTATCACAACATAACACACATTACCTTCATCACAACATTACACACGTTTCCTTATCACAACATTACACACATTACCTTCATCACAACATTACACATATTACCTTATCACAACATTACACACGTTACCTTCATCACAACATTACACACGTTACCTTCATCACAACATTACACACGTTACCTTCATCACAACATTACACATATTATCTTCATCACAACATTACACCTATAACCTTCATCACAACATTACACATAATCATCACAACATTACACACGTTACCTTCATCACAACATTACACACGTTACCTTCATCACAACATTACACACGTTACCTTCATCACAACATTACACATATAACCTTCATCACAACATTACACCTATAACCTTCATCACAACATTACACACGTTACCTTCATCACAACATTACACATATTACCTTCATCACAACATTACACATATTACCTTCATCACAACATTACACACATTACCTTCATCACAACATTACACACATTACCTTCATCACAACATTACACACATGACCTTCATCACAACATTACACATATTCCCTTCATCACAACATTACACCCATTACCTTCATCACAACATTACACACGTTACCTTCATCACAACATTACATATATTACCTTATCACAACATTACACACGTTACCTTCATCACAACATTATACACGTTACCTTCATCACAACATTACACACATGACCTTCATCACAACATTACACACATTACCTAATCACAACATTACACACATTACCTTCATCACAACATTACACACATTATCTTCATCACAACATTACACATATAACCTTATCACAACATTACACACATTACCTTCATCACAACTTAACAAATGTTACCTTTATCACAACATAACACATGTTCCCTTCATCACAACATTACCTTCATAACAACATTGCACACGTTACCTTCATCACAACATTACACACATTACCTTCATCACAACATTACACACATTACCTTATCACAACATAACACACATTACCTTCATCACAACATTACACACGTTTCCTTATCACAACATTACACACATTACCTTCATCACAACATTACACATATTACCTTATCACAACATTACACACGTTACCTTCATCACAACATTACACACGTTACCTTCATCACAACATTACACACGTTACCTTCATCACAACATTACACATATTATCTTCATCACAACATTACACCTATAACCTTCATCACAACATTACACATAATCATCACAACATTACACACGTTACCTTCATCACAACATTACACACGTTACCTTCATCACAACATTACACATATAACCTTCATCACAACATTACACCTATAACCTTCATCACAACATTACACACGTTACCCTCATCACAACATTACACATATTACATTCATCACAACATTACACATATTACCTTCATCACAACATTACACACATTACCTTCATCACAACATTACACACATTACCTTCATCACAACATTACACACATGACCTTCATCACAACATTACACATATTCCCTTCATCACAACATTACACCCATTACCTTCATCACAACATTACACACGTTACCTTCATCACAACATTACACACATTACCTTCATCACAACATTACACACGTTACCTTCATCACAACATTATACACGTTACCTTCATCACAACATTACACACGTTACCTTCATCACAACATTACACACATGACCTTCATCACAACATTACACACATGACCTTCATCACAACTTTACACACGTTACCTTCATCACAACATTACACACATTACCTTCATCACAACATTACACACATTACCTTCATCACAACATTACACATATTCCCTTCATCACAACATTACACCCATTACCTTCATCACAACATTACACACGTTACCTTCATCACAACATTACACACATTACCTTCCTCACAACATCACACACGTTACCTTCATCACAACATTATACACGTTACCTTCATCACAACATTACACATATAACCTTATCACAACATTACACACGTTACCTTCATCACAACATTACACACGTTACCTTCATCACAACATTACACATATTACCTTATCACAACATTACACACGTTACCTTCATCACAACATTACACACGTTACCTTCATCACAACATTACACACATTACCTTCATCACAACATTACACATATAACCCTCATCACAACATTACACACGTTACCTTCATCACAACATTACACACTTTACCTTCATCACAACATTACACACGTTACCTTCATCACAACATTACACCTATAACCTTCATCACAACATTACACATGTTCCCTTCATCACAACATTACACACATTACCTTCATCACAACATTACACACGTTACTTTCATCACAACATTACACACGTTACCTTCATCACAACATTACACACGTTACCTTCATCACAACATTACACACATTACCTTCATCACAACATTACACATATTACCTTATCACAACATTACACATGTTACCTTCATCACAACATTACACACGTTACCTCATCACAACATTACACATATAACCTTCATCACAACATTACACAAGTTACCTTCATCACAACATTACACACATTACCTTCATCACATCATTACACACGTAACCTTCATCACAACATTACACACGTTACCTTTATCACAACATTACACATATAACCTTCATCACAACATTACACACGTTACCTTCATCACAACATTACACATATTACCTTCATCACAACATTGCACACGCTACCTTCATCACAAGATTACACCCGTTACCTTCATCACAACATTACACATGTTACCTTCATCACAACATTACACCTATTACCTTCATCACAACATTACACACGTTACCTTCATCACAACACTACACACATTACCTTCATCACAACATTACGCACGTTACCTTCATCACAACATTAAACATGTTACCTTCATCATAACATTACACTCACTCACTCATTAAGTGTACGTCCCATTCAGTAGATAAGGCGTAATGCTGTGTTCTGACATCCTGACACTGCACAAGGCAGGCAAGTTATGAAGTTTTGAAGTCTAAATGTTAAAGTAAACTTTTCACAGTAGAATATTCATCAATGACTAGGCAAGTTCTGTGTCATTTCTGCAGAAACTGTTTCAGTCATTTTCATGGTACCTAGCTAATTTTGTAAAGACAGCCTTCTCCTGACATGACATAATCTCAGACTGACTGGGGACTTTATTAACTGAATGACCACATGCCTGTTGTAGGCATTCCTTCCCTATCAGTGATACTGTCAGTGTAAAATGCAGCAGGTGAACAGAACCAGTATATACACCCACAAAGGAAACATTTTCATTTGTCATCATGTAGTGATGCTAGTTGCATGATGTTAAAACTACCAATCATTATCTTAAAGCAACAACTAATTTTATCACTCTTATATGCATTGTATTCACAATTTTCAACGTATACTGTGTTAATCGCTAACTTGTATATTCATTGTCAGGCAGTGTAAGTATGATAAGGATACTGGTAAAAGTTCTGCTTTGCAACTTCCTTGTTTCATTTTCTGTTGGTAACTTTCTTATGTAGCTCTTTAAAAAGGAATTGTCCTTCATTTTAAAACAAATTGTTTTTGCTAAAAATTGATATGGACAATAAATGTTGAGAGCTTTGTACTGATGTAAACAGTGGAGTGTTTAAGATCCTATCTCATTACTGCTTGTAATGTTTTCGTATATATTCATCTTACATTGGATTGAATATTTAGCAGGCGTCAAGCAGGAACAAGATGTCCAAAATAAGCCAGTGGGTAGAGGTCGTGCTCGTGGCCGTGGTCGTGGTCGTGGTCGTGGTGATCGCTCACCCCGTCAGAGGACATTCTCCAGTGGGGATGAATCCAGGAAGGTGGAGAGACAGAAGGACCTTCTTGTGGTGAAGATTGACAACTCTGGGAAAGACACAAACCAGTCTGTGGAGGTGGAGTACTGGGATGATGACATGGTTGATGTCAAGTCCAACTCTGCTGCTTCTGTCAAGTCTGGAACTAGTTCACGCGACGGTCATTCCAATCATACTCGTTGTAGGCGTCGTGATGACCACCAGTTTGATGACCATGATGAAGGTCAAGATGGTGATGACAGCTGTGTTGGTGGTCATCCACATCGCCACACACTTAGTCACAGTCTGGGTGATGAGAATGAGCATGATGAGTCTTGGGAAGATTGTCCAGAGGACAGTGAGTTTTATGCAGATGATGATTATGCAGATGGGGATGACAAATATAAGGAGCCTCTAAAGCTGGAATGTAAGTTGAACCCAGATGCACCAGAGTTTACTCCAACATCACCAGAGTTCATGAAGACACCACCAGGCCATGTCAAGGTCATGGACTGGGTGACTGAGGTGAATTCAAATCTCAGCCCAACTTCACCCCCTCCGACCTTGGATGGGGTAAATAATGAGGAGTGTAAAAAGGCACTCTTCAAAGATAAGTCAAATAGTGCAGGAAAGAGCTCTTCTCATGGTGGAGTTACAAAAAATGACACTAAAGTTTCTGAAGAAGAACTTAGTGCCAGTTACATTGATGAGAAAGAAAGTTGTGATACTGCTGCCCCTGAAGCTTCAGAGGAGTTCCTAGATGCTTCTGGAGATGTAGGAGAGGCTGATATATCTCAGCTCTCCAATCAGGAAGTAGGACACGAACATGAATCCAAATCCAGCCCTGTTGGTAGCTGTGGGAATGTTGAAGGTGACGCTGACCCATCCACTCAGAACACGGAGGTCAGCACACCTCATAACGACAAAGTAATAGATGAAGCCCAGTCATACTCAAAGGTGAATGTGCCAAATGAACCTCAAGGGAACAATGAAACTATTGTCAACAGTGATGCTGCTGTCAGTAAAATGAAAGAGGTTGATGGTAATATGCATAGTGGGGATGACATATCCCTGATAGATCAACCGCTAATTTCTGGTGAAACTGGGATTTCAGCAAAAGCAGCTCCAATGAATCCCACAATAGATGCAATAAAAGTAGACTCCACAGAGATGGATTTCACGGCAGATGCCACAACACTGGACCCAACAACATTGGTGTCCACAGCAGATATCACGTCAGTTGATCCCACAGCAGATGCCACATCAGTGGATCCCACAGCAGATGCCACATCAGTGGATCCCACAGCAGATGTCACATTGGTTGAACAGACGTCAGATGCCACATCAGTGGATCCCACAGCAGATGCCACAGCAGTGGCCCCGACGTCAGATGCCACATCAGTGGATCCCACAGCAGATGCCACATCAGTGGATCCCACAGCAGATGTCACATTGGTTGAACAGACGTCAGATGCCACATCAGTGGATCCCACAGCAGATGCCACAGCAGTGGCCCCGACGTCAGATGCCACAGCAGTGGATCCCACAGCAGATGCCACAGCAGTGGCCCCGACGTCAGATGCCACAGCAGTGGTTCCCACAGCAGATGCCACAGCAGTGGAACCCACAGCAGAGATTGCAAGTGAGCTGTCCACACAGCAGATGGCCAAACCAGACATGACACCTCTGACTGATAGGTCAGACCAGTTACAAACACATCAGTTGGTGCAGGAAAAAGGTAAGCCACTATTCTTATAATTGGTATTATCAAACAGCGCCCATGTAAATGGGGATGCTTTCAGGGTTTTTTCTAAATATGTCCGTCACTACACACTTTTGAAACCACACTGCACTTGGACATCTCAGGGTTACTATATCAGGTATACCTTCTTTATAGCCCTGGAATATATATTTAGTACATTCATCAGTCGTATCAAGGGTTCAGTGTCATATGCAATTTCTTTGTTACGTTGAATTACACCTTGGTCATCATATATGGTTTACATACTTGATAGCCCCTGGGAATGTTTTTGAAATACATGTTCCTGATTTTGAAGGTCAAATTCACTTTCAAGGTCATACTCTCAAAAATGTATTAACCGGTGATGTTTTGAGAACACAAGAAGTGTTTGCTGTTGTTGGATGAAATATTTTACATATTGTCCTCAGGGTAGGGCATTTAATTGGTAAGGTTTTGAGCAACTTCCACTGAAGATCAAGGTCACTGGAATGGCCATTCTTGTCATGCTTAAGGTTGTTCTGCTCCTTTTGTACTGCACACAGTCCTGTTGTTGTATGACATGTTTAATGTAAGAGCTAGCACCAGTGGTTGTTCAAAATATTTATGCAATTGGCTGACATTGTCAAGGTCATACAATCTGAAGTGCATGTCACACTTATTAAATCTTATTAAATCAAGGTAACCAGAGGCTTGGGACTTTTCTGTTCTATTATTGTATTGCATTAGATATATTTTTCCCAAATTGAAGTAAAATTTATTTTTCTTATTTGTCTTGTTGAAGGAATGTGACTTTCTGCTTTAAAGTAGCACTGCATGTGTTAATGTTGCACAATGTATGACATTTCCCAAGTGATATCATTCAACCTTTTGATTAAGCTAGTTAGAATCATAGTTGTCTTACATTAGACATGTGTTTTCTAAAACTAGAAGTGATGTCTTGTTAATGCTGTTAGAGGCATGTAACTTCCTGTTTTAAAGTCAAACTACATGTACCGGTATTTTCCCAAACCGCAGGTGATGTCATTGAACAGGAAGTGCTTATAGGTTGTTATTAGGGACTTTTTGTCCACACTGGGCATGTTGTTTTTTCTTAATCCAGTGTTGATGTCATTAAACCAGAAGTGTTTATGTCATGTTATAAGGGAAGCTAGAGGCATAGGACTGCATTAGACAACATATGGATCAAAGATGTAAAAACATCAATATTGGTGAGGGCAGCCAATACTTGAATTGATAAAGTCAAATTGCTTCATGATACTTCAAATAATTTTCTGGTGGGAAAAGTTTGGGACTTTCAGGAAATGGCGGGAGTGGGGTTGCAAGCGCCTGTCTAGTTTTTATTAAGACATTGATAGGAAATATAAAAAGCCTTTTATCTTGTGTTTGCAACCCAAATCAGTTTTATTTGCTTCCAGTTTCAGTCCTCTACTAGCTAGTACAGGCAATGAGGATATCATTTGCATAGAAATGTCTGTTACTTGTTTTGCATACACCATTGTCAGAGTTTATGATGTGATGGCATCATGTTATTCTATTGTAGTGCCAACTGTTGACAATGATCAGAAGAGCTCTGTATCTGAGACTGTTGTTGCTGCTGAGAGCAAAACAACAATCCCAACAACTACCACCGCAACAGCTGAAAGCTCTCATGTAAGCATTGTAAACATGCACAGCCTCTCAGTCCGTTTCAAGCTGTCAGGCATGGACTAATACTAGTGTAGCTATAACTAACATCTGCAAGTGAGGTAAGTGTGAGATTGATGAGATGGAGCTGCCTGCTTGGGTTTCCTGGTCTACTTTGGTTGTTACCCCACTTAGCACAGCAGTAATATGGTTACATGGCTTCATCTTTGTCAGGTAAGAAATATAATTTGCTCCACCCCCATGTATAGTGCAATACAGGGCTCGATATTGAGCTATATCAAACATACACCAGTGCAACCTATTATTTAAAAATGCACCCTAATATTTATGTCAACATGCACCAAGTGCCTGTCAAAACATTTCAAATTTGTGTCTCCCTAACCCTTACATGTCCAAACAACATCAGTCTTTGAACAGATTCAATTTACCATACTACACTACTTATTCCTGTGTTATCATACTGTGTAATTTGTCATGCTTTTGTGGGCTTCATGTCATCAAACTGTGGGTACTTCAAGGTTATGTGTACATGTTCCTGTTATGTTTCACAGCAGCATGTGACACAGGCAGCAGACCGGCCGATGTTTCAACTTTGATAAATTTATGGGACCAGGATGCAACCTGGTTTTGTCCGATGCACCTGGTGCAAGTTACGTCAAGTTTCTTAAATCGTGCCCTGTAATAAAGTATAGTTTTGCCTTCAACTATTATTTTCGAAAAGCATGCGGACATTAACACATGTAAACATAGCTGAAGTTCTATGTTGTTGGTACATGTTTTCTGTACAAGATTTGCATCTTTACTTCCACCACTGTTAGCAGACTGCAGCAACTGCAAGCCATAAAACATTGTGCTTACTGAGTTTGTTCCACTGATGTTAGCAGACTGCAGCAACTGCAAGCCATAAAACAGTGTGCTTACTGAGTTTGTTCCACTGATGTTAGCAGACTGCAGCGACTGCAAGTCTTGAAACGGTGTGCTTACTGAGTTTGTTCCACTGATGTTAGCAGACTGCAGCGACTGCAAGTCTTGAAACGGTGTGCTTTACTGAGTTTGTTCCACTGATGTTAGCAGACTGCAGCGACTGCAAGTCTTGAAACGGTGTGCTTTACTGAGTTTGTTCCACTGATGTTAGCAGACTGCAGCGACTGCAAGTCTTGAAACGGTGTGCTTACTGAGTTTGTTCCACTGTTAGCAGAAAGAAGCAATTGCAAGTCTTGAAACGGTGTGCTTACTGAGTTTTTTCCACTGCAATATTGCACCATTAACAACGTGATTTGACGTGGCGTGATATGGTGTCGCAGCCTTCAAGAGACAAACATGTCAGAGGAAGGGCAACAGCGTTTGATTGGTTTGACTGCAATATGTGTCTACTTCCCACGCTGAGAAACAGATCTACATGTTGTTATTAAACTTTTCAAGGATTGCTCATTGCTGTGTCCAAAGACAGACATAATTCCTAGGGCAGCAACGCCAGCCTCGGACAACTTTGTGGTTGATGGTTGACATCATCATGCCATATTTCTTCCCTGGGAATAAAATTCAAATATTCAGCAAGTTTAAAGATACTAATTCATCTAGGCTAAAGCAATAATAGTCTTGGTTCTCAGGCACCATCCTCATTATCATACAGTCTGCCGAACGTTTTGTTTTAATTTTCATTTTAAAGAAAATATATACTGTATTCGATGTAATAAGCGCCCAGGGCGCTCTCAAAATTAGGAATAGGGGGCTCTTATGAGAATATTATTTTGAAAAGTTGAAGTTGAAAGATAAATTTTGTGGTATATGCTGACAGCCTGAAATGTTTATGTACGACAGATATATTTTTCCAGAATGAAATTGCCCATGATTAAGGGAGCATATAACACACAAATGTATTATACATGAATAAATAAGTGAGTATGGTTTTACGCCGCTTTGAGCAATATTCCAGCAATATCACGGCGGGGGACACCAGAGATGGGCTTCACAAATTGTACCCATGTCGGGAAAGGAACCAGGATCTTCAGCGTGAAGAGCGAACGCTTTAACTACTAGGCTACCTGACCGCCCCGCAAATAAATAAGTCTTGTGTACATTGATCAATTGGAAGGGGTGCTAATTGGGATTGTTCACTAGCCAATATATTAGCAAATATCGCTGTGGGTGCTTATTATGTCGAATACGGTAATTCCTAAAATTTACACACAATGCACACAAAAAATTGAAAATGGAAACAAAATCGAACGTGCAATGAACTTTATGATGATGTGGGCAGTGCCTGAGAACCAAGACTATAATGTTTTTAGCCCTATCGATAATTGATGTAGATGCACCATTTTGATTGATAGTAATGATAGAACAATGTTACTATGGATATGTTAGATCATGGGGGAGCTAATTGAACAGCTTCATGATGTCAAAATAGGATGGTGGTTATGGAACAGCCATTTTCTGCAGTTCCCTTGACATGCAACTATGCTTGTGATGAAAATCTGCTCAAGTAGTTTGTAGATGTACGATCAAGTCTGAGGCAAACAATCAGTATGAATGCAGTCAACTGTCTGTCTTCCATGGAGGATTCTAGGTTCATATCAACTAGATGTTCGGCCTCAATGCAAAATTAATGGATGGTCCAAATTTGAGTATTACAGGCCACCATGATGCAGCTGGAATATTGCAAATGGCAGTGTTAAAGACCATTCACTCAGTGACTCTCTTACTCACTCGTTCACTTGGTAGCATTGATAAGTATCAACTATTTATTTAGTACCAGTATATCTTCAAAGAAAAAACTTTGTTGTAGATTTGTGATTTAATTAAATATATTATTTGAATATAAAGTTAAAAATGTAATAGCTAGAGGATAGCTGAAAGTATTGTGTCTGCAAGGTACAGTTGCAAGAACAAAGGGTGAGGTGAAGTCGAGCCTTATTGTTTTTGCAATGTGTCTTTTTAACCCGTTCAAGTTCTGTCACTCGTCCTTATTCTGTGTTAGAGCACCGCCAAATACTTGAGGCCCATGTGCTTTTATAATGTGAAGAGTTTACACAAGAGACACTTTTCACTTTCCATTTAAGGCCAACAAACCCATGGCCCTTTATCAGGATATGATTGTTCAATATGTGACCCAAATAACAAACACTCATTGGACCAGAGTCGTCTTTAACAGTGCACTACTGAATTGTGGTGAATAATAAATGGTTGTCCACATGGTGAAGATGTACCCTTCAGATGCACTGTGTTATGCCATGTCATTATTTGTTCCATATATTTTCAGGTTGAATGAGGATCTTGCAGAGGAAGGCCTACAGTTTCAACACGACAGTTTTCACATCATCCTTTCGACAACATATCCGCCCTGCTTTTAGGGAAAACCACAGCCAAAAAGATATCCATGTTTTTAACTTCATTTCATCCAATCAGCATTATGTTGTTTAAATGTTATGTCAGGTTTTAAGTAAATCTTAGATTTGAAAAAGTTTAAAGTTGTTTTACATTATAAACTATAATCTGATTCAATGTTTCCATGGAACATGGGGTGAGTACATCTTCCAGTCTCTGAGGATGGGATGTCCTCCATCCCTTAATGTGGGAAGTATGTCTGACAGGACTAGTGCAGTCGCTAGCCACAGGATTGTTAGTGCCACCGCAATGTGTCTTATTGACCTCATAAATGTCCCCCATGAGGTACGTTATGAAATGTCTAGTGTTTTAAGGTGCTCTGATACTCAGTATGTTTTTATTCACTTACAGTACATGTCAAATGTGAAGTTTTTTTCTTTTTAACATATTATGTGTGCCAGGTCGTGAAAACGAATCAGTTGCTTAAGAGATGAAGTTTGTCATTTCTTTCAATCATGGTACATGTTATTTGATACTACTGTCTATGTGAAGCGATAGTATTTAGTTTTGATAGCTGGCCAACAGCCAGCATTGAAGTACTGCCCTTTGTGAGACAGTGTTGTGAGTATTTTATGTGCTTGAGATGTGTTTGATATTGAATTGTACATAGTCACAGATGCTGTTTGTTCTTATGTGCTCATCCTGCATATTTGAAATTGTGTGTTCCATTTAGAACATGTTTGTTGATAGAATTGGTCAGCTGAACTTTATTTATGCAAATTCATGCAAACAATTACTTATAAATGTCCTTCCCATATTTCATTGGTAGTCTTGTTTACTGCTATTGGTTGTTGCAATTCTTTTACATTCTGTCCTGGGAGACTATTCTTCCACTGACATTTTGTAAGAATGAAAAGGTTATTTTAAGTCATAGATCAATTCATAATATTTCATATATCAAATTCATTTTACAGTCACTTGTTATTTATTGACAACTATACATTGTCCTTCATATTTATGTACTGTGCAATCATATCCACAGTTATTGCATTTAGGATGTGAAAACTTCACTTGTATAGGACTCTAATGTACAAAAGAAGCAGTATTCACTTCCATAATATTTATCTGTAGTGAGGTTGACAGATAAACATGTTTGCTACTCCATCCTGCCACACAACATGGAGGCAACAGATGGCCAAGCCTGAGTGTGCTACATCCTGCCACACAACATGGAGGCAACAGATGGCCAAGCCTGAGTGTGCTACATCCTGCCACACAACATGGAGGCAACAGATGGCCAAGCCTGAGTGTGCTACATCCTGCCACACAACATGGAGGCAACAGATGGCCAAGCCTGAGTGTGCTACATCCTGCCACACAACATGGAGGCAACAGATGGCCAAGCCTGAGTGTGCTACATCCTGCCACACAACATGGAGGCAACAGATGGCCAAGCCTGAGTGCTGCTACATCCTGCCACACAACATGGAGGCAACAGATGGCCAAGCCTGAGTGTGCTACATCCTGCCACACAACATGGAGGCAACAGATGGCCAAGCCTGAGTGTGCTACATCCTGCCACACAACATGGAGGCAACAGATGGCCAAGCCTGAGTGTGCTACATCCTGCCACACAACATGGAGGCAACAGATGGCCAAGCCTGAGTGTGCTACATCCTGCCACACAACATGGAGGCAACAGATGGCCAAGCCTGAGTGTGCTACATCCTGCCACACAACATGGAGGCAACAGATGGCCAAGCCTGAGTGCTGCTACATCCTGCCACACAACATGGAGGCAACAGATGGCCAAGCCTGAGTGTGCTACATCCTGCCACACAACATGGAGGCAACAGATGGCCAAGCCTGAGTGCTGCTACATCCTGCCACACAACATGGAGGCAACAGATGGCCAAGCCTGAGTGTGCTACATCCTGCCACACAACATGGAGGCAACAGATGGCCAAGCCTGAGTGCTGCTACATCCTGCCACACAACATGGAGGCAACAGATGGCCAAGCCTGAGTGCTGCTACATCCTGCCACACAACATGGAGGCAACAGATGGCCAAGCCTGAGTGCTGCTACATCCTGCCACACAACATGGAGGCAACAGATGGCCAAGCCTGAGTGCTGCTACATCCTGCCACACAACATGGAGGCAACAGATGGCCAAGCCTGAGTGCTGCTACATCCTGCCACACAACATGGAGGCAACAGATGGCCAAGCCTGAGTGTGCTACATCCTGCCACACAACATGGAGGCAACAGATGGCCAAGCCTGAGTGCTGCTACATCCTGCCACACAACATGGAGGCAACAGATGGCCAAGCCTGAGTGCTGCTACATCCTGCCACACAACATGGAGGCAACAGATGGCCAAGCCTGAGTGTGCTGCACCATCCTGCCACACAACATGGAGGCAACAGATGGCCAAGCCTGAGTGCTGCTACATCCTGCCACACAACATGGAGGCAACAGATGGCCAAGCCTGAGTGTGCTAAACCATCCTGCCACACAACATGGAGGCAACAGATGGCCAAGCCTGAGTGCTGCTACATCCTGCAACACCACATGGAGGCAACAGATGGCCAAGCCTGAGTGCTGCTACATCCTGCCACACCACATGGAGGCAACAGATGGCCAAGCCTGAGTGCTGCTACATCCTGCCACACAACATGGAGGCAACAGATGGCCAAGCCTGAGTGCTGCTACATCCTGCCACACAACATGGAGGCAACAGATGGCCAAGCCTGAGTGTGCTACATCCTGCAACACCACATGGAGGCAACAGATGGCCAAGCCTGAGTGCTGCTACATCCTGCCACACCACATGGAGGCAACAGATGGCCAAGCCTGAGTGTGCTACATCCTGCAACACCACATGGAGGCAACAGATGGCCAAGCCTGAGTGTGCTAAACCATCCTGCCACACAACATGGAGGCAACAGATGGCCAAGCCTGAGTGTGCTACATCCTGCCACACAACATGGAGGCAACAGATGGCCAAGCCTGAGTGTGCTACATCCTGCAACACCACATGGAAGCAACAGATGGCCAAGCCTGAGTGCTGCTACATCCTGCCACACAACATGGAGGCAACAGATGGCCAAGCCTGAGTGCTGCTACATCCTGCCACACAACATGGAGGCAACAGATGGCCAAGCCTGAGTGCTGCTACATCCTGCCACACAACATGGAGGCAACAGATGGCCAAGCCTGAGTGCTGCTACATCCTGCCACACAACATGGAGGCAACAGATGGCCAAGCCTGAGTGCTGCTACATCCTGCCACACAACATGGAGGCAACAGATGGCCAAGCCTGAGTGTGCTAAACCATCCTGCCACACAACATGGAGGCAACAGATGGCCAAGCCTGAGTGTGCTAAACCATCCTGCCACACAACATGGAGGCAACAGATGGCCAAGCCTGAGTGTGCTAAACCATCCTGCCACACAACATGGAGGCAACAGATGGCCAAGCCTGAGTGCTGCTACATCCTGCCACACAACATGGAGGCAACAGATGGCCAAGCCTGAGTGTGCTAAACCATCCTGCCACACAACATGGAGGCAACAGATGGCCAAGCCTGAGTGCTGCTACATCCTGCCACACAACATGGAGGCAACAGATGGCCAAGCCTGAGTGTGCTGCACCATCCTGCCACACAACATGGAGGCAACAGATGGCCAAGCCTGAGTGCTGCTACATCCTGCCACACAACATGGAGGCAACAGATGGCCAAGCCTGAGTGTGCTAAACCATCCTGCCACACAACATGGAGGCAACAGATGGCCAAGCCTGAGTGTGCTAAACCATCCTGCCACACAACATGGAGGCAACAGATGGCCAAGCCTGAGTGCTGCTACATCCTGCCACACAACATGGAGGCAACAGATGGCGAAGCCTGAGTGTGCTGCACCATCCTGCCACACAACATGGAGGCAACAGATGGCCAAGCCTGAGTGTGCTGCACCATCCTGCCACACAACATGGAAGCAACAGATGGCCAAGCCTGAGTGTGCTAAACCATCCTGCCACACAACATGGAGGCAACAGATGGCCAAGCCTGAGTGCTGCTACATCCTGCCACACAACATGGAGGCAACAGATGGCCAAGCCTGAGTGTGCTGCACCATCCTGCCACACAACATGGAAGCAACAGATGGCCAAGCCTGAGTGTGCTAAACCATCCTGCCACACAACATGGAGGCAACAGATGGCCAAGCCTGAGTGCTGCTACATCCTGCCACACAACATGGAGGCAACAGATGGCCAAGCCTGAGTGTGCTGCACCATCCTGCCACACAACATGGAGGCAACAGATGGCCAAGCCTGAGTGTGCTGCACCATCCTGCCACACAGCAGCTCACACATAACATGGAGGCAACAGATGGCCAAGCGTGAGTGTGCTACACCACCTTCAAGGCTCACACATAACATGGAGGCAACAGATGGCCAAGCAAGAGTGTGCTACACCACCTTCCAGGCTCACACATAACATGGAGGCAACAGATGGCCAAGCGTGAGTGTGCTACACCATCCTGCCACACAGCAGCTCACACATAACATGGAGGCAACAGATGGCCAAGCCTGAGTGTGCTGCACCATCCTGCCACACAGCAGCTCACACATAACATGGAGGCAACAGATGGCCAAGCGTGAGTGTGCTACACCACCTTCAAGGCTCACACATAACATGGAGGCAACAGATGGCCAAGCAAGAGTGTGCTACACCACCTTCCAGGCTCACACATAACATGGAGGCAACAGATGGCCAAGCGTGAGTGTGCTACACCATCCTCCCAGGCTCACACACAACATGGAGGCAACAGATGGCCAAGCGTGAGTGTGCTACATCGTCCTCCCACACAACATGGAGGCAACAGATGGCCAAGCGTGAGTGTGCTACACCATCCTCCCAGGCTCACACACAACATGGAGGCAACAGATGGCCAAGCGTGAGTGTGCTACACCATCCTCCCAGGCTCTCACACAACATGGAGGCAACAGATGGCCAAGCGTGAGTGTGCTACATCGTCCTCCCACACAACATGGAGGCAACAGATGGCCAAGCGTGAGTGTGCTACACCACCTCCCAGGCTCACACATAACATGGAGGCAACAGATGGCCAAGCGTGAGTGTGCTACATCGTCCTCCCACACAACATGGAGGCAACAGATGGCCAAGCGTGAGTGTGCTACACCACCTCCCAGGCTCACACATAACATGGAGGCAACAGATGGCCAAGCGTGAGTGTGCTACACCACCTCCCAGGCTCACACACAACATGGAGGCAACAGATGGCCAAGCGTGAGTGTGCTACACCACCTCCCAGGCTCACACATAACATGGAGGCAACAGATGGCCAAGCGTGAGTGTGCTACACCACCTCCCAGGCTCTCACACAACATGGAGGCAACAGATGGCCAAGCAAGAGTGTGCTACACCACCTCCCAGGCTCTCACACAACATGGAGGCAACAGATGGCCAAGCGTGAGCGTGCTACACCATCCTCCCAGGCTCACACATAACATGGAGGCAACAGATGGCCAAGCGTGAGTGTGCTACACCATCCTCCCAGGCTCACACACAACATGGAGGCAACAGATGGCCAAGCGTGAGTGTGCTACATCGTCCTCCCACACAACATGGAGGCAACAGATGGCCAAGCGTGAGTGTGCTACACCACCTCCCAGGCTCACACATAACATGGAGGCAACAGATGGCCAAGCGTGAGTGCGCTACACCACCTCCCAGGCTCTCACACAACATGGAGGCAACAGATGGCCAAGCAAGAGTGTGCTACACCACCTCCCAGGCTCACACATAACATGGAGGCAACAGATGGCCAAGCGTGAGTGTGCTACACCACCTCCCAGGCTCACACATAACATGGAGGCAACAGATGGCCAAGCGTGAGTGTGCTACACCACCTCCCAGGCTCACACATAACATGGAGGCAACAGATGGCCAAGCGTGAGTGTGCTACACCATCCTCCCACACAACATGGTGTGGACAGGTAGGCATGTCTGAGTGCTGCACCCACCTCCCAAACAACACTCACTGAGGAGTTTTTATTTATTTATCACTCTATTGTTTTGTTACAAATGTGTATCCTACTGCCTTGAATCCTTTTTCAAAAGTAAGAGGTCTATTTATTGAAAGGACTCTAATTACTTGCCATGTTAGACTGTTTGGTGCTCTAGTTAGATGTTCATAGCAATATCACAGTTCAAATTTTAGAGAGTATCCAAAACAATCAGTTTATATATACTTTGATAGATTCATTTCCTGGGTTTCTTTACAGGAAATGTGTTCGTGGAAGCATGACATCTGAACCTTTATGTTGTTATCTGTGGAGATTTGGATCTCAGACTATGAGAGGCGACTTTGATATATGACTGTCTACTGTGTGACTGCAGGCAGCGAACACATACAGGAGGATCGGCTCACTTAAGTCAAGAGACACCAGTAATGTAAACTAGACACCAACTTTGTAACTTTGGAGTGTTTATGCAGTATTAATAATCTGTGTATATTAGCATTAGCATGTGTTGATATGTGAGAAATATACAAAATACAGACATAAGCAAGAAATAATACAAAAATACTTAGCTTGTATGTACTGTGTCAGCAATGTTTTAATCATTTTTATGTGATGGGAACATTCCCAAGTCTTCAGTCTTGGCTTACTGGACTAGAGAATGCACAACACTGTTAACAATAAGACCTACTGAAAAAAATGGAACGCTTCAGAGTTTTCAGATTTTATTGAAATGAATTTTAACAGAGAATAAATTTTGTATAAAGACTTGAAATGGTGTATTAGTATTGACTTCAGTTTTAAGCTCAACTGGAGGAATGCAGGACCCGGTCATCTGCGGTGCCTTTAATTTGCTGTGAATGGCTAAATCTCAGATGTGACAGAAGTACATGATCATGGATTACAGTCAGATTTGCCCCAATAATCATCCTTGGTTTGATCACTCGTGCTTGTTTGTTTCACCAAATGGGTTAACTTTTAAGACCTGCATTACCTAGGGTTTTCTCCAACATTTAAGCTGGCACCTTATGATAAAACTGAAATATTGTTCACATCGTGATTAATCCCAACAAACTCACTCAACAGATTGGAGATTTAGATTTGGAAAAGTGAGCTCATGTTGTGGAACATTGTCTTTCATCTGCGCTCCTCATACCACCTGCATATTTTACATCTCTGAAACTCTTGGGTTTTTTAAACTGAAAGTTTGTTTATGTGATCCGAGTAATCATGTCTTAAACATCTTCTAACAGAAATCTGTTCCAGTTTAAACATTGCAATCATGACAGCCATATTGTACATTGTGCCCATATCTCAGTAATTTTGGTATAAATGCAATAAGTATGTGGTACACAGAATAACATACGTTTTTGGGAGTATTTATATTTTTGACACAACTGTTGCCTTGCACCATTTTCTACACCTCCAAATTCACTTTGATGCTGAAGCTGAGTGACTAACAGTTTATACCTGATTTTATATTATCAATGATTCATTCATTGGTAGTGATGAGGTGGTCTGCCTTGCTGACTTCGTTGATGCATGTCATAGATTGATGCTCAATTACTGGTCGTGACTCCATTATTTACAGACTGCCTTCATATGGCTGGAATAGTGCTGAGTGTGGTAGTAAACAACAAACAGTCATCACACTTTGTTGCATGACAGATTTCATCACTGTAGATGAGCATAATGATTCCAACTGTCCAGTTGGGTAGCCCACCCATCTGCCTGGAGTTCTGACATACATGGTGCACATTTCGTCAGTTGGTATCACAATCTCATCAGTATAGGTAAGTTACCTTGAACGTTGATGACATTTTATAAAGATTATAGCTTATCAAGGGAAAAGAAAGTTTACTTTGCCCTTTTTAGTGTGGGCAACTTTTAAGATTCTTCCTAGCTCCTCAAATCTGCTCATGGATTGTACATTAAAGAACAGCAGGACAGCTTTCCTCTATTTCATTTTGTATACATGGATTTTTAATGCCTGATCGATTACCTTTCTTTGCCCATTCTTCCAGTTGATCAGAAAGCAGACAATTCTACATGGAATTTTATTTATATACATTTATCTCTACCCAAAACCTTAAATTCTATATGAAAGTGTATAGTTTACGATACATATTAAGGTATCCATTCTTCATTACGTTTGCAATCCAACTTATGAATGAATGGATCAATCAATCCTAAATAGTACCAGTAAGGTCAAAGTTTGGGTATCAGCCAATCGAATTGCATACAAGGGTAACTTCTCTTATTGCCTCCAGTGCACTTTGCAGACAATGTTATCAAAACAACTTCATGGTTCAGGGCACACAATAGCAAAACCTTCATCCCTACACTGTAATGAACTTATCTATGCAATGCCATTGTCATCAAACAGGGGATAATAATTTATACTTGTTTATATATATTTAAACAAGTATAAATATAACGAACTGTTTTTTTGTCCCAGCCATTTGCTGTGTATATGCTGTATATATGCTTATAGCAAACAATGGTTATAAACGAACTAAAATGTGTGGATCGATGATCATGATGTCAATCACTGGATTGTCTGGTCTAGACTGGATTATTAACAGACACCAACATATAGCTGGAATATTGAAGGTCATCTGTGGTCTGTGTAGCATTGTATCGATGCAGGAGACGGTAAATTGTGGTTATGTTAACGTTAAAATGACGGGCAACATCTTGGACAGACTCTCCAGCTTCCAAACGTCCGATAGCATGGTTTCTCTGAATTTGAGTTAGGCGTGGCATTGTTGACCAAGGAGTGGTAGGTCCAAGAATCGGCCACAGTTTTATACCCACTACAGTTTGTGCATTTTCGATTTCGCGAGAAATGGGTGCATGATACCCACATATTCATTGAAATGGTGCGTTTTGGCGATTCGTTTTTTATGTTGCGTTTTTACTCGGGGCTTCCAAAATGCAACACCATCAGGCTTCACTACATGCTAAAACTCGTATCAATTTATGGTTCCGTGTTTGTTACCTATTTGCCTTGCGTTTCTTTTGCGTGTGAGTATACATGATGCAAATGTGTAATTGTACTGATCATTAATTAGAAATTGTATTTAGCATTCAGCATACGTTCGATTTTCATACAATTTGGTGAGTGACGACAGCGCCTGGCATGAAGTAATGTTTCGTCCCTGGTAAGGTCTCCATTTGGCCTCCAACTTGCGGTTAAATGTCACAGTCCTGGCATTATGATGATGAGACATATGTCCATATTATACGAATTCCCACACTAACGGCAGTGAGGCGGTCTCTTTGTGTGGCAGTGTAA